TGTCTAGGGACAAAGCATTGTAGGAAGACCCTGAGGGTTGGCTCTGAGGTTACACTGGGCAGATAGGCCCTTGACAGGGAGGATGTAGTCTTGCTGACTCCAAATGGAGCATAATCCTTCAGGTTCTGTCTCCACTGGCTCTGCCTCTCTGGGGTCCCCAAGCTTGCTGAGTTTCCCTATGCCTGGCATTCTTGAGCAGAACAAGCAACCTTGTGGGGTGTGTGGTGAACACTTGACAAATTGCTTCTGTTCTCCCTGTAGAATGGGATGTACCTATCTCAAAGGTGGTTGTGAGACAGAGGTGAAATCAGAAACAACCTGTCATGGTCTGAGCTCAGCCAAATGTCACCACTGTAGTTTTTGCTGCAGTATCAAGCAAGCCCGGGGGCAACCCCATGACCCACCTTCTGCAGGCTGGCCTGAGGGAAGCCAAGCTGGGTATGGGTGTCAAGGCATCTGCTGAGTGTGAACACATCCTGGATCCCTCCGGCTGTCCTAGCCTTGGGGCTCCATGTGTGCTGGGATGTGGAAACTGCAAGCCTCTTCTGGACATGTCACTGGCTGGGGAGGTGACATCACTTGAGATGTCTCCAGGTTGAGGTGGCCTTGGTGGCAAGGGGCCTTGTGGACAAGCCTTGGGTGGATGAGATTTGCAGGGAGAACACCACATCTCTCAACATGCAGAGAATGGCTAAGGCAGAGGATACTGAGTCTGTTCTGTGCAGACCGACGTATAAAGCAGGACAAAGCAGGACAAAGGACAGGAAGATGAGACAGGGTTGATACTGGAGAGGAGACAAGCTCTGCCTTCAATGAAACTGTCCAGGAGTAGAGAAGGGGCTGTGAGCCAGCTGAGTGGAACTGGGCAGGAACAATGGTGCTGGGTTCACTCTGTGTGTAGCTCCTTGCCTGGGTCCCTCACCACTTGCACGCTGGAGGCTCCACATATTCCCAGCGCTCACATTTGATGATTGTGCTGCCTCTGTGTTTAAATCCCATTTGAGGGGGGCTGAGGCCAGCCAGGGCAGTATACATGACACATGGTGCCTGCAAACATCCCGTGGAGGGTCACCAGTGCCCAGCAGTGCTCACTTCCTATCCTGACCCTGTTTTCGAGGCTGCCAGGGCAATGGGGCAAACCTTCTCCACATCCAAGCCTCAGCTGTAATAAGGGATTTTGTTTTCTTTGAGACACTCTTTTGGAGCACCAGTGCCAGCAGATGAGTCTCAGCTTGGGGCTCTGGTGGTAGTTTTCAAACTGTCCCTTGATTCTCCAGGACACAGCAGTGGGAGCAGAGGAACCAGCAAGACCCCTTGCTCAGGTGGGGCCAGCCCACCCTGGCTGTTCCACATAGTGGGCTCACTTTAGTTCAAAGGAAGGTCCCTGTGGCCAAGAAGATTTGGGGAGTTCTGTTCCCAAGACTGGGGTAATGAAAAGGTGTCCAGAAAAATCGACATTTTGATTCTCACAGTCTCTCTGGAAGGTTCTCATTTTTGGGATGAGCAAGCTGTGGCCTGACGAGTCTGGTTACCCCACCAGGTGGGACCCGGATTCCCGTCTCTGTTTCCACTCCATCATGAGAACCCAAAGAATAATCAGGCACTTGGGGAAGGTGTATAAGTCCCCAGCCCTGCATATTTCTCTCTAGGCCCCAGAGCTGGTGTCTCTGAGGCATGGAACATTCCAAACAGACCTGGCCAGGAAGCTGTCACCCCCTCAGAGCCGGCTAAAGACTACACAGCCCGGTGCTGGCGGGAGAGAAACCAGTAATTGCAGCCTGGCTCGTCCTCTATGGAAAAAAGAAAACACCCCTGTGTGTGGCTGTTTCCCAGGCTCCATCACTCTATCCAAAGCTAAGGCTTGGAGAGGCAGTGGTCACTGATGCTCAGACACCCCTGAAGGTAGAGATAGTGACTCCCTCGTGGGGACACGGGCAACCCCAGGAAACTGTTCTCTCTCTCACTCACATACACCAACCCCACCACAGGGCTCTCCCATGCTAACAGCTCCCCTGACCTTCCCTGGCTCCTTGGCAGGGGCTGCCCACTGGTTGGATCTTGCCCACAACCCAGCTTGTGCCCAGGAGTAGGTGGGAGGCCAAAGGAGGGAAGAGGTGGGAGTATAGTCGGGAATCCACTGGGTGAAGGATGACCCTTCAGTTCTAGGGGACGTTTGCTAAGGACCGAGGGGGCTGATGAGGACTGGAATGGTTAAATTTTAAACCCTCACACTCACCCATCCCCCTCGGATGGGTGGTTGTTGAATGAGTGAACATCAGTGTCACCTGGCTGTGTTTGCCTCCGTGCCTCTGTAAGAACCTATTTGAGTTTACTTAAAGCCCAGGGTTTGTGACAGGTGAGCTAGGGTTGGGCCTATTGGATGGGATGGGGTAGAGTTGGGTCGGGCAAAGGAAAGAGCTCTGGCCTACAGAGCTGCCCCCAAGCTCCTCAGCAGTGCTGTGAGCTGGGGTCTTCAGGATCCCCAACACAGAAAGTGGGGCAGTGACTGATCATGTGACACGCCCAAGGTCACAACCCCTGTCTGCTGGTGTCCAAGGCACTCAGTGCTAACTGTTAGGCTCATAGGCCCTTCTCTCACCCTGAATCCAGGAGTCATGTCCACATATGCCATGTGTGTCCGCTATGATGGTGTCGAGGTGGATGACAGCTACTGTGATGCCCTGACCCGTCCGGAGCCTGTCCATGAGTTCTGCGCTGGGAGGGAGTGCCAGCCCAGGTACCTGCCCCTGAGCGCCCGGCAGGGTGTTGGCATGGGTATCTATGACTCTGCTTTGCTTTTGTGTCATGGGCTGGGCCGTGGGACCCTGTGCAGAGTGCACAGAAGCGATCAGTAAATGCTTTCCACTGTGGTTTAGAAACCCTCTATTTTGGAGGGCTTTCTTTGCCTCCAGACCAAATTGGTATAGTTAAGATCTTTATAAGCCCGCAAGGATTGTTGCTGAAATTCCACAAGGACAGGATATCCCTGGGGTGCGGATGGAGTCCCAGTTTTCTAGCCTTGAGACCTCCTGTCCCAGATGCAGTCAGAGATCTAGCCCTAGGCAAGCCCTCCCCTAGTGACAAACAGGCAGGAGTCAAGGTGCTGGCCTCTCTCCACCTAGGAGCAGCTCCTTGGTGTCACGCATTTCCAGCTCCTTGACATGGCCACATGCCCTCTCTTCTTCCGGCCTACTGACTCCTGGGCATTGGTTCCATTCTGGGACAGGCAGAGGACACCAGAGTTGGACTGTCCACTCCAGAACCCCAAGGTTTTGTGCCTCTTACTCCAAGTCCATGTTTCCAGAGGACCCAGGGTCTCTATCACAAACCCACACAGCTCATGGGGCAGAGATAAGTGGTCTGCTCCCTCTGGGTGCTGGCGAGGTCCTTCTCTGCACACAGAACCAGGCTGTGCCTTCTGTTTGTTTCACCACTGCTTGTGGGGAATCAGAGTTCTGTGGGGTCAGAGCCACCTTTGTGACCCAGCAGGGCATAAAGGGGCTTGGGACTCTGGGCCATGGTCTCCAGGGGGTGTGGCAGGTGGGGAGGGCAGTGGGACAGGAACAGAGTGGACAAGGGAACAAAGCTGTGGGTCTGGAGGTGGCTCAGGCTCCAGCAGGCCACACATTATGCAGATGCTGCCTCATTAAGTAAAGACCACAGGGTCATCACAGCAGCAGTCTCCACCGTTGAGCCTCCTCCCTTCCTGTCTGGCTTGGCCTGTTGTGGTTTAGAGCCTCTGGGGCATGGGGTATGAGGGTCCCAGCTGTAAGAAGAGGTCACTGAGGGCCATCCCCACCCCCGAGGCAGATGGGAAACCAGCAGCTGGAGTGAGTGTTCTCGGACCTGTGGCGAGGGCTACCAGTTCCGCATCGTGCGTTGCTGGAAGATGCTGTCCCCCGGCTTCGACAGCTCCGTGTACAGTGACCTGTGCGAGGCCGCTGAGGCCGTGCGTCCCGAGGAGCGCAAGACTTGCCGCAACCCGGCCTGCGGGCCGCAGTGGGAGATGTCCGAGTGGTCTGAGGTGAGCGGTTTGGCAAAACCGAGGGGTGGTGAGGGCCTGAGCGTGTGTGCCCCGCTGCCCCTCACCCTACTTCCTCACAGTGCACAGCCAAGTGCGGGGAGCGCAGTGTGGTGACCAGGGACATCCGCTGCTCGGAGGACGAGAAGCTGTGTGACCCCAACACCAGGCCTGTCGGGGAGAAGAACTGCACTGGGCCCCCCTGTGACCGCCAGTGGACCGTCTCGGACTGGGGACCGGTGAGGGCAGCAGAGTCTGGGGCGTGCGGCTAGGGAAGGGACCCGAGGGCTCTGCCTCATGCTCCTAGTTTCCTCATCTTTCTGGAATGAAGATAAGGGAAAAGAGTGCATACTGACCTCTCTCCGGCTCTCATGAGGCATCAAACCCTTATCCAAACACAAGTCCCCTTCTGTGACCTCTCTGTCTCTCTCTGTGTGCCTTTGTTTCTCTTTCTCTCTGTCCTTCGGTCTTTCTCTTTGTCTCTGCCTCTCTATGTCTGTCTCTATCTGTCTTGTCTCTTTCTTTCTTCTGTCTTTATAGCTGTGACTTTTTCCCTATCTCTGTCCTTCTGTCTTTATTTTTGTCTCTGTGTCTCTCTCCTTGTCTGTCTCTATGTCTTTGTCTCTGTCTCTCTCCTTGTTTATCTCTGTGTCTTTCTCCCTGTCTTTGTCTGTCTATATCTTTCTGTTTCTGTTTCTGGCTCATCTGTCTGGAAGAGAGCTGCTCAGATGCTTGCCTAGGTCACCTCTGGGGGGAGGGGGCGCATGTGACCTTTTGAGCTGTGCTTTTCTCTGTGTGTGTTTTGCACTGAGCATGTTATTTCTGTAATTAGAACAGAAAATGTTATTTAAAAAGTGGTTACCACGGCAACTGATTCCCCATGCTGCCCTGGGAGCCTTTCTGTTCCCTTGGGGATGATGTGGGTGGGGGTCTTGTGGAGTGGCCCCTCTAACTCTGAGTTCTGCTCCTGCAGTGCAGTGGGAGCTGTGGGCAGGGCCGCACCATCAGACACGTGTACTGTAAGACCAGTGACGGACGGGTGGTCCCTGAGTCCCAGTGCCAGACCGAGACCAAGCCTCTGGCCATCCACCCCTGTGGAGACAAGAACTGTCCAGCACACTGGCTGGCCCAGGACTGGGAGCGGGTGAGTGCCCTTGGAGCCCGTGCAGGGCCTCCTTCTGTCCAGGGAGTGTGGGGCCAGAGAGAATGTGTCTGAAAGCCAAGGGCTGGAAGGGTGCTTTGGTCACAAGAAGGAATTCATTGCAAATTACTAGGTGTGATTCCATGAAAAATTAATTTGAAATACAAAAATCCAAAAAAGGCAGGAAAATGGCTTACAATCTCCCAACTCTAACAATCCCACCTTAGTGATGTTTGCAGGGTTGGCAGTGGCCCCTCCCTGGGCCCCAGATCCCAGTGGACACAAAACCAGGGACAAGGGGTGTGGATGCATTTGCTGTTAGTCCACAGGACCTGGGTGATGTTTTTGTTATCCTCACCCACTTGTTTCCCAAACCCTCCAACCCTTGTTGTCACCGACTTGCCATTTGGACGAATTGCTCTCAGCCAGTTGTTTCAGGCAGATTACCATTAACCAACCAATTGTGCCAAATTGTTTTCTCCTGAATTGATTTTGGCCAAATCATCCTTGGCCAAATTGTCATTAGCAAATTTGTTTCCAAACAGATGGTTTGGAGCTAAATTTGCTTTTGATCAAATCCTTTCTGGCCAAATGGTTATTGAATAGAGAGTTCTCAGCTAATTTACCTATTGATCTAAGCATTTTCACCCAAATCCCATTGATCAAACTGTTGGCACTGGAGGTGCCACGGCCGGGGTCCTGGCTCTTCTAGCCTGTGGTACTGACCCATCCAGTGTGGCCCCTCCTCAGTGCAACACTACCTGTGGGCGTGGCGTGAAGAAGCGGCTGGTCCTCTGTATGGAGCTGGCCAATGGGAAGCCACAGACGCGCAGCGGCCCTGAGTGTGGACTGGCTAGGAAGCCCCCTGAGGAGAGTACGTGCTTTGAGAGGCCCTGCTTCAAGTGGTACACCAGCCCCTGGTCAGAGGTGAGTGCCCGGCATCCTCTTCTGAGGCTGCCTCAAGCTAGGCCTGAGTTCTGATCCCTCCACAGTATCTCTCCTTCTGCCCCATGTGTCCCTCTCCCAGTGCTACCAGATCTCAATGCTATTGGTAACTTCTGGCCTCAAATTGTGGCCTTTAAGTGATGTATTTGGTAGCGTGTATGTTTGATGACCTCCATAGGGCAGACAGACCCAGGTGGGCGCAGCCAAAACAAAGACACCAGATGTGGGGATACAGGGTAATGGCAGGGTTTGTGCCCTGGTCAAGACACTGGGTCAGGACACTGTGCCAAAGGGCAGGGCAGCAGCTTTCCTGACACTGGCCCCTGCTCAGTTCTATGGGATTCTCAGTGCACCCCCTCATCCCCACCAGCCCCCAGCCTCTGGACACTGGGTGCACACTATGTGTGTTACTCTATGAGCTAAGATTTGATTTCACTCTCTACCTGCTGGTGGGCAGCATTTGGCCTGAGGTCTCCTCCTTCCCAAGTCACATCCCTAGAAGGGGTTCCTTTTCCCTTTCTTAGAGGAAGAAAATGAAGTTCAGAGGACTATCAGACCTCATGTGGTCCTGCATTACTGGGAGTATAATGGATAGAGGAACCCTAAGTTAAACCCAGGGGGCTGAGGAGTCTGCAAACTGTTGAGAGGCCCCAAGCCAGCCTGTCCTAAGAAACCCAGAGCAGGGAGCCCTGAGGAGTGAGGAGCCTCGATTCACAGGTTCTGGTAGGGCATTTAGGCCCCACCCAATTCTCTGAGTGATTGTACCTCTGCTGGTCTGCTCCTTGAACCCTCTGTCTTCAGAGTCCACTCCAGAGCCCCAGAGTTTGTCAGCACCCCAGCCTTCCTGACACACAGAAGCAGTTGTGTCTGGGATGTCAGCTTTTATTAACTCATTTCAAAGCCTCATACAATGGCCCACATATCCTCTGGCAGCAGTGGCACTCCTGTGTGAGAGGATGTGGGAAGCCCAGAGCTGTCTTTGAGAGTCACTGGGCAGGGGCTGGAGAATAGGGGTTCTATGGCCGGGACCTCAGGTGCTGGGACAGGTGGGTGCCAAATCCCCAAACCTAAGACCTCAATGTGAGGGTTTGAGGAGGTGAGGAGGAGGGAGGTGTGCACAGATCCAGGGCCTGAGAGATGAGAAGTGTCAGTGGGGAGAACCAGCTAGAGAGACAGATACAGGTGTGGCGGGAGTGAAGGTCCCTTTTACCTGACTTGACTGGGCCCAGCTGGGAGAAGGGATCTGGGGAGGCTGGAGGGCCCAGGGAGCCAAGCCAAGACCTGTACTTGGGAGGACCTGTACTCAGATGCTCAGTGCAAATACCATGCTGGCTGCTGGACCATGAAGAGAGAAGCACTGGAAAGGAGCATGGGGAGGGAAGGGTGCCGGCTTACTGTCCCGATGAGGAGGTAGCAGAGGAAGATAGGGGTGGCTGGCACAGATGGAAGTAGGCATGTGGGCTTCCATCATTTCTGTCCCTGGTGGGACAGTGCCCCTTTTCCATGGCCCCCCATAATTCTGTATACTGACTTAGTGTGTGTTCCTTTAGCTGCACTGTCCCGTCTACTCCCTGGGACAGAGGAGTGGGTGCCAAGGACCTGCTGGGAGCTGGCCCATCTGCAGGGACATGTCCAGAGTTCCTCAGGCATATGCCAAAGCCAGACTGTCTTCTGGTCACCGGTGCCAAGCCAGCCTCTTCTTGCCTCCAGACTGGGCCACTCCCTAGGCTTAGGTCAGGCAGGCAGGAGGATGGTTCCTGCCAGGCCTTCTCCCCATGCCTTTGCACACAGACTGGGGGTGAACCTGGGACAGGAGCCTCCCCCCACCTCAGGAAACTCAGGACTCAGATCCCAGATGTACCCTGGTGATGTGGGGTCACTTACGTCAGAAAGCCATCACTTGAAGGATCTTGGCAGGAGGACAGTGGGGGAATCGGGGTCAGCAGATGTCCCTGGTGTTCTGGACAGCTCAGCAGGCTTTCTGTGGGGCAGGGGTGGGGCAAGGGCTTTGGGGCTGCATTTTATTGGTCCATAGCAAATGGGCCACATCACAGATCCAGGATCAGAAACCCACTAGGATATAGTCAAGAGAAAAGGGACCACACCCTCACTGTGCATCTGGGGAAACAGAGGCAGTACTGGGGGGTGAGGATCAGAGTCTCCTGACTGCCCTACAGTGCCCTTCCCTCCATTGCCACCTCCACTCAGCTCCAGCTGCAGGCTGTGGGTTCCAAGGAGCTTGGTGTGCCCTGGGTCAGCTGTTGAGTAACAGCCGGTGGGGAAGCGTGAGTCTGGGTGGTGAGGCTCCCTCTCCCCCTCAAGGTGGGGGGCTTTGCTGTGCATCTGTCTGTCTGCCTCTCCTACCTCAGTGCACCAAGACCTGCGGGGTGGGTGTGAGAATGCGAGATGTGAAGTGTTACCAGGGGACTGACATCGTCCGCGGCTGTGACCCACTGGTGAAGCCTGTGGGCAGACAGGCCTGTGACCTGCAGCCTTGCCCCACAGAGCCCCCAGGTGAGAAGGGAGAAGGCTGAGGATAGGACTAGGGCTGCCCAGAAGAGGTATGGGCAGAGCCAGAGTCCGACAGATGACCAGGTATCAGTTGGGAGAACCAGCTGAAGAGATGGATGCTGGTGTGGTGGGAGCAAAGGTTCCCTTTGGTCTGGCCAGGCCCAGCTGGAAGGAGAGGCCTCGTGGGGGCCATGGATCCCAGAAAGCCATTCTAAAACCTATACGTTGGGAAGAGCATCAGCCTTGTATGAGAGTGCAGCTGTGGAACCCCAGCCCAAGTGGCCCCCAAGAGGCAGGGAGGCAGGGGTTAATCAAGGTCTTTGGCTTAACACCTGGATGATGGACAGTGTGCCATCCTCCTGCAAGGGTGGGTGAGTTCTCTTTTTCACATACTAAGTCAGAGGGGGAGGCTCATGTGGGCCTTAGGAATTTTCAGCCCTCTGGAAGGTGTTCATTGACTGCCCCAGGTCCCAGTCTCTGAACAGGAGCCACTGAACAGGATCCAGGACTTCTTGGGGGAGGGGCAGGGACAGAGAAGGGATGGCAGAGAGTTAGAACTGGAGACCTGCAGTGGGTGGCTTGTGGCCTTTGCACCTGGAGGAAATGGGCCGTGGGGTCAACCTGTCCACAGATGCCTCCTGCCGGGGATGCCCTGTGATGGAGGAAGCTCCTGCTGTTGGGGGAGGATGCAGGGGGAGGATGAGGTTCCCTGACACCCCATCCAATGTCCCCCTGTCTGGACTGTGTCTCTTCCCCAGATGACAGCTGCCAGGACCAGCCGGGCACCAACTGTGCCCTGGCCATCAAGGTAAACCTCTGTGGCCATTGGTACTACAGCAAGGCCTGCTGCCGCTCCTGCAGGCCTCCCCACTCCTAGGCCTGGTGCTCAGCTCCTGAAACCCAAGTGCCCTGACCTGGGGTCCCACCCTGGACACCAGTCCTGCAGGGCATCACCAGGCTGTGAAGATGTGACACTGAGCCTTGGCCGACAAGAAGTGACTTTCATGCTGTGGGCCTGGGCTTGGTCCCAGGGAAGAGGCCTCAGTGCCCACCAGCTCCTCCCTGGATGGAGCTGTCCTGCCTCGGGAAGCTGTACTAGAGCCGGGAGGATCCTGTATGTGTGGCCTGCCCTCAAGGGGACCTAGCCCAAAGCCCAGCATAGTGAGACCTGCTCACAGTCCAGGCCGGGCTCTCTCAATGTGACTTACAGATGACCTGGAAAGTGGGGGCTCCCTCCATCAGCAGCCTTGGGGTTGAAGAAGAGGCTCTGGAGCAGCTGAGGAGGCCCGGGCTGCCCTGCCCCTGCCAGTATTGAGGCGCACTCCTTCCAGGGGACTCTATGTCATGACCTAGCACTGGCCTGGCCTCCCTCACTGGAGCTTCTGCGCTTGGAAGGACCATGTACTCTATGCCCTGGAAGAGACCCTCTTTCTCTTGGTGCATTTGGTTATGGACAGTGGGGCATCCCTGTAATCGTCCTCAGTACTCATTGGTGTATGTTAATAAAATGGTTGTATTTATGGTTGCATTGTGGAGTCTCGGTTGCTTCTGGCAGGGGAGGTGGGAGGCCTTGAGGGAGAGCTGGGGTGAGGCTGTGCTGTATCTCTCGTTTCACAAGGGGTACAGGGACAGGTAGGGGTGAGGAAGGCAGATGCAAAAAGCAGGCAAAAGGCAACAAAAAGATGGGGGGAGCCTACAGGAAGGGGCGCTGGGGCATCAGGACCATGCCAGAGTTAGAATAGGCTGGAACTTCAAGCCCATCATCAGCTGACATGGGGACCCATAGGGGACCTGAGGGTCTATGGTGGGGACCCCATTGTAAACTGAGCTTTAGCTAAGGAGCAGAGCCCTCGCCCTCAGGTGTTCTGGGAAACAGAGGAGATAGGCAAGTGGCAGGGCACAGGCTGGGGCCACCAAGAGCACCTGTGACCATCTCTGGACTTCAGGGAAAGACTACCTAATCTGAACTTGTGAGCAAGGGACACAGGGGCCTCTGGAGGGTTTTGCTGTTTCAGACTGGCTTTTCCTGGTTTGGAAGGGTGTGGAAGAGGAAACAGCCAAACAACTGCTTAGAACCTCAAGCATGAGAGCAGGGGTGTAGAGGATGCAGGGGAGGGAGGAAGGACAGGGCCCTTCTGCCACCCACAGGCAGTGTTCCTATATCCCAGGGGACTGGAGCCTCTGCCCACTCCTCTCTCTTGTACCCCGTATGGGGTGATCATGCTCACTACTTCATGGGCTCTCAGAAAGATAAAACTAGGCAGCAGTGATGAAGTGCCTGGTCCAGAGGCTGGCGTACAGCAAGTGTTGGCCGGAAAGAGTAGGAGAGGAAGGAAGTAAGGACAGAAGAAGAATGGAGGGGTGGGGAGGAGGCAGAGAGATGCTAACAATGGGAACTAAAAACCAAAGGGGGCCTGCCGTGATACCCCTCACCAGAGAGCTGCTCCCAGCCCCTCTGGATTACAAAGGCCAACTCTGCCCAGGGATCCCGGGAAGGGTTGGCACCTGTAGGAACTTAGGTGGACCGAAGACTCAGAGCAGGAGTGTGGGAGACACGTTTATTGGCTTTTGCTTTTCTCAGGGAGTCCAGCGGCTCCCCCAGCAGGCCCAAGGTGGCATTGAGTAAGCTGGGAGGGATGGATGTTCATTTCATTTCAAAGGGATCTATGAATGGATGCAGAGAGGGCAGAGGCCAGAAAGGAGGTGGAAACAGAACAGCCCAGGAGTACCCCCCGACAGCCCTCACCCCACCCCACAAGTTGATGATCACAAACTCCTTGGGATGGGACAAAGGAAGTAGGAGGGGGAGAGGAGTGACTGGACTTCTGACAGTGAATTCAGTTGGCAGGTCCAACTGACGCAGGAGGAGACAGAGAGGAGGAAAAAAAAATGGAAAATGCCAAACATAGCAGGTGTTCACTAACTCCGTCCAGTGCCTCTGGTAACAAACTCCCCAGTGCTGTCAAATAAGAGCGAGAAGAGGCCTGCTAGGCTGCCTGGCTCAGGGGCAGCCAGGGCACTCCAGGCCTTGTCTTTTAGGAAGCTGCCTTTCCTGGGGAGCTTGACCCACCCTGGGGCTCCACAGCCCAGCCCCAGGGGAGAAAGAACCCCAAGACAGAAGAGATTCTTGGGGTCACACTTCCCGGAGAGAGACTGTTGCCACCTTCTGTGTGGGAGGGGCACTGCATTCCGACGGCTAGTGCCCTGGGCTTGGGGCTTCTCCCTGGGGTGGCCACTGGGTATCATTTCCTCAGCCAGTGGAGAGGGTCTGGAGAGGGGTCAGAATTCCCAGGGAGACCCTAGCTCCCTGCTCTGAGCTAGGGCTCAGACCAGTGTGGGCATAGATGAGGCAAGCTCTGGCTGGCTAGGCAGGAGCTGAGTCTGGAGTCTTGCTCCAAGTAAGGAGCAAGTAGACGGGGGGGGGGGGGTGACCTGTGGCTGTCTCCCCTGGAGACCTTGGTTTCCACTGAGAGAGCTTAAATTCCTCTGTGAGGCTAGTGCACACAGATGGGGAGACAGAGGCCCAGGAATTGAAGAAGTCACAAAGTCAGTTAGAGGGCCTTTGAAACCCTGGGCCACAGCTGTGTTTGCCTTCCACACCTCAGCCTCCTCTCTGGGTGTCTGTCTGTCTTTTGGTTGAGTTCAGGGCTGAGCACTGGGTGTATGAATTTCAGTGTTGACTCTCCCAAAGCAGTACCCTCCCCATCCCTTTACCCTCCTCACCAAAAAGTGGAACAGAGCCAAGCAAATTCCCCAAGAAAGCTACTGCCCCAAACTCTCCCTTCTAGGGGGTTCCTGCCTGTCTGCAGTGGGTGTCCCAACACTGGGCAGGTGTGAGAGAGGAAGGGGCACTAGAGAGAGAGGGAGTGTGAAGGAGAGTGGGGAGAGCAGGGAGAAGGAAGCCAAGTTCACGGTGGAAAGCAGAATACTTGGTTCACAGCTGCCAGGGAAGGCCTGGGCTGCAGGCCCTGGCTCCTTGGAAGCTATCCCTCCCATGAACAGATAGGAAGCCCAAGGGCCAGGCAGCAGTGACGGCTGAGGTCACAGTCAGGGATGGACTGGTTTCTGGAGTTGAAAGAGGTCAACTTCTTAGCTCTGAGAAACGGAAGCCGAACCCTGCCTCCTTGCTGCGCTCACCTGCCCGCCCTGTCATTGGGTCTAACTTCCTGCCTCTGCTGCCCCTACCCCCCGCAGCCACACCTGTGTTCACTGAGCCTTATCCCTGCAGAGGGCTGGGGGGCTTCCCACGCCCAGGTCCCCCCAAGGGCAGGGACGTGAAGAAGGACCTGCAGAACCCCCGTCCCAGCCTGGGGCCAGGGTGCTGCACTGTGGGGATCCTGCCATGGTCCCAGGACCAGTGGGCTCCCGCCACACGGTCACACGTCTGTGCTGACGCTGCGGCTCCGGGAGAAAGCCTCACGCATGGCCGAGAGGCGGTTGGGGTTGAGGGCCTGCAGGGCCCCGAATCCCCCGGGGGGCAGCTCCACGTCCTCCTGGCTGATGCTCTTGTAGGCCACTCGGCCCCCGCCGTTGCGCACACCCTCGTCCTCGTCCTCGTCCTCAGGCTCCTGCAGGAAGAAGGTGGGTGGCTCGTAGTAGGAGCAGCTGCGGCAGAGAGCACGGGCCTGTGGGGACTTCTGGCTGAAGGAGGTGGCGGTGGCCGGGTACAGCGCGGGCCCGTTGGTCAGCACCAGGTTGCGATTGGAATGCAATGGCGGCAGGTGTGAGTGCACTGCGAAGTCCGGCTCCTCCTCGTCCTCCTCCGACTCGTCCTTCTTGCAGCAGTAGTACTGGGGGCAGAGGGCTGGGTGACTGCGTTGCACAGCCCCCAAGACCGGGGTGGCCCTGCTCAGACACCTCTCCTGCTCAACCACCATCCCTGGGTCTCACTCAGGCTGGGCTTGGCGCTAAGCACTCTGCGCTGAATAGTTTATCTCACCCACGCAGCAGCTCCAAGGCAGGTGCGATTCTCATCTCCATTTCACAGGTGGGGAAATTGAAGCACAGAGGGGCAGGCGGCCTGGGCAGTCCCCGTCTGGCCTCAGAGTCTAGTCACTGGCCCTGGGCTTGCTGCTCTGCCCTGGACAAAGCTCCCCCTTTCTCAGAACATGTGGGGGCCTCAGCCAGCTCTAAAATACAGGTGGGGAAGGGGACACTGGGGTACTGTGTGGGGCCTCAGAGAGAGGTGAACAGGGGGTGTTGTCACTAGGTCCCATAGGTACAGACCCCACCAGGGCTGTCTGCCACACCTTCTCAGAGACCTGGCTGCTTCCCTCCCACCCTCCGTCCTGGTCTCTGCCCTCTGCGGGGGCTCCCACCCTTGGCCTGTCCCCTCCAGCCCTGGGGAGTACCTGGAGCCGACAGTAGCACAGAACTGCTATGATGCACAGTAGAATTACAGTCGCCAAGATGCCCCCAGTGATGACCACAGTCCCGGCTGTCATCCGCCCACTTCTCCATCAACAGCCTGCAAGAGACACCAGCCTCACAGCATCACTGGCACCCCTTTGCAAAAGCCACCTATTCTGTTTCAGAAAGCCGAGAAGACCCACTGAAGGGAAAAGAAAACACCCCAGGACACACACACCAGAGCCAGGAGCTTGGCTGGGATAGGGCAGGTGGGAGGAGAGCCAGGGCTTGCTCGGCCTTGGTTTCCCTATCTGTCAGAGGTGGAAACCTCTGACAGCATGGGCTTCTGTGAAGAATTCACCAGTACCCGGCAGAGCATGCACTGTCATAATGACGGGTGCCCTTGCCATGCAGTTGAGCTGAATACAGGGTTTTCTAACCTGCCTTCCTGCTTTTGCACCTAAAGCAGGTCACCCTTATTGCTCCATATTGTTAAATTTTCTTCTGCAACATAGTTTCTGTCCATGTTCCATTGTTTAGCACAACTGATCCCCTTTCTTTAAAATATTTGGCAAAATGCACAGGACATAAAACTTGCCATTCTCACCATTTTTAAGTGTCAACTTCAGTACCGCCAGGGAACTTTGCTCTCCAGGACCTTTTCATCTTTCAAACCTGGAAACCCTTTTGGCATTTAGGGTGCTTGCATTTTAGCAAAACAATTTTCAGTGATGTTGCAGGTAAGAGTGGGGAACCTTGTGCCTTATGGACCCTACCTCAATTCCTTTTCTAGGATAAATTCTTAAAAGGGGACTTCTAGGCCTAAGGACCTGCCCGTTACGAGCCTTTTTTTTTTTTTTTTTTTTTTTACAAAGTGGCCAAGAAGCCATACAGGAAGTGGAGCCTGTGGTCAGTGTGCTCTGGTTTGGTTCCCTCTGTCGGGTACATGCTGATCAATGCCTTCAGACCACACGCACCCTCATTGCAGGATTTGCTCCTTTTCTGCAGGTGAATGTTCTTGCCATGGCTGGTCTCAGTTGAAGAAACTCTTAACAACCACTTTACAACCCTTCCTGGTGCCCTCCCTCCTAAGCCAGAAGTTGCTGGGGCAAGCATATACCTTCTTCCATTCCCAGGGTGGAGGGAGTATTTTAAAGGAAATCCCAGCACATCTCAGTTTACCCATAAACACTTCCGTGCAAAATGACAGGTGAGGACTTAGAAAAATGCCCCCTCTGTGTGGCCTTGTCTTGTCATCTCCTTGATGCCTTTTCCACAGTTGGTTTGTGCAAGTCATGACTGGCTTGCGTTTGGTTCGTTTTTACTCTAGAACTGTTCAGTTCTTACCTGCTTTCCTTCTGCTGGAGAAGAAACCAGGTCATTTGTCTTGCAGAATTTCCTATGTACTGGAGTTGGCTGGGTTTCTCTGTGTGACAGTTAACATGGTCCTCTACTGCTGCTTGGTCCTCTAAGCTGGATTTTTTGTGTCACCTTTGCTGCCATTGTCTGCGGTCTCTTATGTTGTGGCACTGGCCCATGTCAAGTTCCCCACCAATCTTCCACTGAGGCATTTTAGCGTGACCTGGCTACATTATTTCATAAGCATGTGTAGAACAGTGATTTCACTGTGCTGCTACTTTCCCCACTGTTATTCACTCTGGTTCTTCCAAATAAAGTTCCAAAGGCCTAGACACCCAATTCTCACCACTACCTCTTTTCAGAATAAGCCACGCCCATAGGTTGGGTTGTTCTGGACGATCACTGCAACACTATTTGTTATTTGATGGTTTTGATCCACGGCAGTCATCGTTGTTTTTGATATTCATATGGTCCCGGTGGACTGTGGGTTTGGAGGGCCCTCCAAGGTGGCTCCTGGATGTGACTTCATAGATTCACAGTTTTGCAGAGAACACCATTGGGCAGGAGGTTCTCATCGCTCCTGGGTCACCGTGGTCACAGATGTTCTTGATGACACTTTTTTATTTTTTATCAGGAGGAACACTAAAACACGAGTTCATACTGACATTTCCACTTAAATTAGGGATTCCTGTGTTTTCACTCATTAAAATTTGATGACTTTTACAGTTTCCTAACAACATGAACTTATTTGTAAATAATTTTGGAATAACATCACCTATATTTCCTGACAAGTCTTCTGAAAGGACTGTGACATTTCTTTATTCTTTTTGTGCTTACCCTTTTAATGAGGTGGAGTCAAAACACTTTCAGCATGGCTGGGCATTTCTGAGCGCTGGTAGCTCAAGCCTATAATCCTGGCATTTATTTGGGAGGCTGAGATCAAGAGGATCTCCATTCAAGGGCAGCCCAGGCAGATAGTTTGTGAGACCCCATCTCCAAAAATAACTAGAGCAAAATGGCCTGGAGGTGTGGCTCAAGCTGAGGGTCTGCTTTGTAAGCACAAAGCCTTGAGTTCAAATCCCAGTTCCACAAAAAAAAAAAAAAAAAAGCTGGATGTAGAGATCCATGCCTATAATCCCAGCATTTGGGAGGCCAAGACAGGAGGGTGGTGAGTTATAAGCTAGCCTGGGCTACATAATGAGATCCTGTCTCAAAAAGTTTTTAAAAAGCTTTCTAGTCATTGGAAATAATTCTTAGTGTATCTTTTCCCACCAATCCCATACTCGGGTTCTCTTTTTTTTCAGTTTGTTTTGATTTTAAAAATTAATGTAATTAGAAAACATTGGGTCCCAAAATCCAGAGCACAAAGCCAGGTGCCTTCAGAGCCTTCCTTCCATCCCTGCCCTTCCCTGGCTTTGCTGGGAGAACAAGTTTACTTAGTTCTGGGTCTTTTCACAGTTTCTTCCTGAACAAATGAGCAGATATGTTTCCCTTCCATTTTAAAAGAAAGTGTTTTTCTACATGTTCTTCTGCCCCTTCCTATGGTGGTCTGTCCCCAGGGCTATGGCAGATGTCCTTGGGGAGCCCTCTGGAGCCACTCAGGGCTTGCCTGAGCCCTTCAGGACTGTGTCATGCCTTCAGGCAGAGGAGCCTGCGGCTGGGCACACGCCCGTGCGCACCGTCTCTCACTGTTAGCTATTACAGAGATGTGTAGAGCTGTGTGCTGTGCATGTTTCTAGAGTCTTTGGTAAACCTGCCAAAGACTTGATGGATTTGGGCCAATTAACCCTCTTCCAGGAATGTGTGAGAATAACTGACAGACAGGATTTTGGTTCAGAGACTTGAGTCTAGGTCAGGGTGGGTGGGCATAGGGGGTGTCTGTAGACAGCTGTAGAGTCTGCGGGGCTTGGCGGAGTGCAACAGCCAGGCAGAGTCCAGAAGGATCCCCAGTACAGTTGGAGGGGGACAAGGACACATACCAACAGGGAGAGGCTTGCACAGGCCACGCTGTGAGTCAGAGGAAAGCTGGGACTAGAACCCAGATCCCCAACGGACAGACAACTGACAGATCCAGATACACTCAAAGCAGGAAGATAGAGGACTCAGACGGACACAGGGACAGCTCCAAATACAGACAGACTGAGGTGCAGACAGGCAAATCCAGACAGACCCAAAGCAGCGAGACAATGGGTGCAGACACGCTGTCAGATACAGACAAGGAAAGGAGCCCCAGGGACCCCGTGCATTCCTGGGCACTCTGCCTGGCAACTCCAGTCCACCTCAGCTTCCCAGGGCAGCTGAGGCCAACTGGCCGGCAGTGCAAGACCCGGGAGTGGACGTGCAGTGGAGGCAACTGGCAGGGGTAGAGTGTCCTGCCTGCTCTTTAAGTGCGTAGCACACTCTTGATGGAGGTGGGATGAAGCCAAGCAGACGGCTGCCGAGGGCACTGGGCTCAACTGCCGTGTTCTCGCCTGTCCTTTGGGATGCAAGGGCACTGACTTCCTGGGCCAGTAGAAGGGACCCTAAAGAGGCCTCCTTAGTGGTCAGGGCAGCCTGGGAGGGCAGGGTAGCTGCTGAGATCCTGATGCTGCAGGGGAGAGGATCAGAAGGGCAGAGGCCACCTGGGAGGTCCAGGTAAACCCAAGCACCCCATCAGGGCAAGGCTGGTCTGCACGTGTCATTCCAGCAAGCAGGGGACACGGGCCCTACTTCCTGTGCAGGGAGTCCAGAGCCTTCCAGGCAATGATGCCATCCCTATTTTCATCATTCAGCCTGACATTTGCAGGCAGGCCTTCTGAGACCCACACCAACCACAGTGGCTACCCACTCTTGGAGATGAACAAGCCACAGCCTGACACCAGTACCAGCAAAACTAGGGGTCAGAACCAGATCTGTCCTACCACCCTTCCTGGGACATCCTCTCCCCTGATTGCTGAGTCCCAAGTCCCCTTTGTATGAACATCCTGACTCCCACAGCACCGTGTGGGAACACACTGCAGCTGACAGTTTTGGGGGTGCTGGCCCAGCCTTGCCATGGCCCTCTTTGTGTTCTGTCCCTGAGCCAAGATGGTGGTGGCCACATTTGTACCCCTGCTGCTGTCATTGGCCACAGCTTATTGGGTTTGAGGTGAACATGCAGTCCAGGTTAGGATGCCAGCTTCTCTTTGGAGACACTGGCTGGTCCCTGCTGGTCACTGGCCAGGATCAGCATTTTCAGCCACACATGTGGACAGCCAGAAGGAACTGGGGGGTGGAGTGGACGTTAGGGGCATATAGATGTTGAGAAGCCCAGTGGGTGTCCTGACTGAGGCCCAAGTGGCTCCCGAGTCTGTGAAGATGTCATCCTGAGTGGCTTTCTGCTATTTGCACTTAGAAAAGACCATTATAGCCCCATTGCAAGGGAGAAACTCCCTGGACTTGGAAAGCCAGCAGGGGGAGGCACAGAGGGTTGCGAGTGGCCTGCAGGGTCTGAATTCAGTGTCCCCCAGTGACCCACCCCACCACTGACCATGGCCAGGGCTTGCTGATAGCCACAGGGGCTGGGACCAGGCTCCACAGGGCAGCGTGTGCCCCAGTCAAGCGTACCCCACAGATGCTGGCTGGGGTTTCTGGGAGGACAGAGTTGCAGGAGGTATGGCAGGGCTGAGGGACTCCCTTGGGACAAGGAAGGGGGGGCACCTAGGCAGTGCATTCGGACAGGACCCCTGACTGCCAGCCCGATTCTGCCTCCAGTTAGCTGTCAGGATGGGCCCCATTTCTCCCTGCCTCAGTTCCTCCTTCTATAAAGTGAATGAATGTTGAGGATTCTGCCAGAGGCCAGTGTGCTGTTACCCTGTGCCCCTCTCTGGGGCCATGTGAGCACGGAGTTGGCCATGCCCACAACCAAACTTCTGTCCCAGGACTAAGAGATAGCTGGTCCCTCGATCCTCCTGGCTCTCAGGCCCAGGCCACAGCTCCTCAGGGCTGGGTCCCTTCCAGCAGCAGGCAGCTTCGCAGCGTGACAGGAAGGGTACCAGCTCAGGCAGGGTGCCCAGGGCTGTCAGCAGCCGCTGCTCCAACACCCAGGCCATCCAGCTGGAGTGTCTCGGCCTCACTCTAGAGATACACGCACGCCGAGGAGCAGCAATGCCTGCGACTGTGATGGGCGCCAGGTCCTAGGGCCAGGCCCGGCACAGACGCACCCACCATCGGCAGCTCCACTCACGCCTGCCTGACATCATCCAGTTAACTCCAGACAGTCCTGAGAGCAACATGGCCTCCCTCAGTCCTCAGAGGTCAGCTCTTGCTGTGCCTCACCCTCTGAGATGACCTTCCCTGCAGAACTGTACCATCAAAGCCCAGCACGTCTTCCTCTTCCAGGAAGCCTTCTAGAACTTCTTCAACACATACCACACCCTTCCATTCAATGGAGTAAGAAGATCAACTAGAGGCCAGTTGCCTGCCTCCCCAGCTCCCTGCTGCCCCTCCCCCCAAGCTGTTCTTTCCACCCCTCCTTGAGAGTTAGGACCCCCACCCAGCTGCATTCCACGTGGCATATGGCACCCCCCAGGTGGGGAGTCATCCTGAGTACCTTGCTGGGAGACCTCAGATCAGGACTTTCACTGGGTTTCAACTCCCTTATCTGTAACATGGGTATGGCTAGGTTTAGCCAATGGACTCCTCCAGCTACCCAGGGTCTGCATTTTTAACTAGCCTCGCAGAGGTCTAGGTGGTCCTTGTGCACAACAAAGTTTGACAGTCATGGATGTGAGAAGTGCCACCCAGTAAGTCAAGATGACCAAGAAAAGGCCTACGGACCCTTTGGTTCCTGTGGCTTCCCCGACATGGGTTCTGAGAAGAACAGGAGGGCTTTGAGAAGAACAGGAGGGTTTTGAGGCTTGGGGGTAAAGACAGTGGTACTGAGTTGGGGAGGGAACTGGGGAGCTTCCTGGAGGAGGGGAGGCTTCTGAGCCAGTCCCGGAAAGGACTGCCGTCTCCACTGGTCCAGGACAGGAAGGACTGGGCCTGCGGGAACAGCCCAGGCCGAGAAGTGCCGGCAGGTCTAGTGACAGCCTGGCAGAGGCCACATACTGCCTGCCTGTTTGCAACTCCATGCAATTCCAAAGTCCCCCGCTGCCAGCCAAGGCAATTTGGTGAGAATCTCACAGAATTGTTAATCTGCCCCCTGGGACCATAAACGGTTTTAAAGCTTTATAAACAGCATTGCTTCCCATCCCCAACCCCCATTTGTTCCAGGACAGGCTGTGAGATGGGGCCCCTCTGTGCACCTCCCACCCCCACTCCTGGAGTCTGGGGAAGGGGCCCTGGTGGGCGAGGGGCCCCTTCCGTCTGGGTAGCCGTTTACAAGCTCTCCTTGTCTCCTGCACAGAGGCCCAAGTGGTGTGGAGCTGGGGGGGCGGGGCTGGGCAGGAAACACCTGGCAGCAGAACCAGACGCGCCTCCACCTGCCTTTCCCCCTGGAGCCCCCTCCCCTGGCAGCAGCCCCCCCTGTGCCACTGCCATCTGTACCACATGTCCTATACTTCGCCTTGGGCTTCTCTTTTTCTGTCCTTCTTGCATCATCCCACCCTGAGTGCCTCGAGGTCTGAGCCTTCCATGGTCTATTTATTCTGCACCCCACACCAGCCCTCGTCAGTGCCTCACATGGTGCGGGGCACCCAGCCAGGCTTAATGAAGGCTTCTGTCTGCCTCGCTCACCTGAGATGCCCAGCACCCCTGCAGAAGCCAAGCAGAAGCCAAACTCTGCCCCTCTACACTAGCCGGACTGCTGGTTCACTTATCCCAGCCTCTTCCACCTCTACCAGACACCAGAACTGGGGACCTGGTAAGCACAGATGGGCTGAATCAGGGGCATAGAGGCCTGGAACCTGCTGGTTTAGCAAGCAGCCTCTCCAGTCAAGTGAGGGTGGTACCAGATGGGGGCACTGAGGCCAGGACAGACAGGGTTGGCTCTGGGGGACCTAGTGTACAGTTGGGCTGTGAACCCAGATTTGCTGCCTCACAGGCTTTTCCTGTGTTGGTGTCTCCTCGAGGGCTCATGGGGACTCAGACCCTTTTCCACAAACACATCTGGTTGGTTGCAAAGCGGTCCTGCTACCTGGGAGCTCAAGGCCCCACTATCCAAGAGCAGAGAGCGGCCCGCAGAGTTCCTGTCTAGACCTTCTCCTTCCTAATTTCACGCTCTGCGGGCTCCCAGATTCCTGTGCTCCGTAATAAATAGACAGGGAAGTGGTAGGCAGTACGGTGCTGCCCTGCTTGGTCTTGGAGAGGAGATATTATCCAGAGCTGGCTGGGGGTGGGCTGGCTCCCAGCAACGCCTGGAATGTCTCCCCCAAGCGTCATCCTCAGCCCAGATCAGCCCCCTGAGCTCAGGAAGGCCTGGCTGGGATTTTCAGGGGCTCATGATCATCCAGGAAACCCAGAAAATGTCCACAGCAGGGGACTTAGTGCAGCCAGGCCCAGGGTAGGGTGGGGAAACATTGCCAATGTGGTGGTCTGGATTCCCTGAGGGTCCCCCAGAAAGAGCACAGGGACCCAGACATTCCACTGGCCGCTCTTGGGCCCTCACAGGTGTGTGGAAGCTCTTCCCAGACCCTAGCTGAAGAGCCCTGGGGTCAGCCCCAGAGTGCACTGGGAGGACAGAGTAGGGCCCACAGTGGAGGCTCGGCGCAAGCGTGTGGATGAATCACTCCTGGGGATTGAACAGGAATTTCCATGTTGGACCTGGCCGACCAGGAGTCGGGTGAGGAGGGAGGCTGGAGCAGGGTGTGATGAGGACTGGGAGTCTCTTCCTTTCTCTGCCTGATAAGAACCAGCAGGAAGCTCTCTGTGCCACATGGTGCTGGGCGCATCTGTTGTATGGATCTCATTTCACCCTACAGCTCCCCCAGGGCGATGACCTTCCCTGGTGGCAGAGTGAACTGAAGGGGCAGACAGGAAGCTCCCCACACGGTCTGGGAGGTGAGCTCTACACACTTCTTTGCAGGGAGATGAGCCTACACATTTTCTAAGAAGTAAACTGAGTCCAGAGGGGTGACACCACCCACAGAGCAAGCAGAAAACCTGAGCAACAGGCACACTGTCCTTGTGCCATCAAGAGCCACTCTGGAGCTCAAAGCCACCTCTGTCTGGAGTCTGTGCTTGGAGGCCACACTGAAGACCAACTCCAGCTGGTTTAAGGCCAGAGAGCTGCAAAGCCAGAGTCATCCCAGCACCAGAGCCCTGCCTGGCCCACCATGAGCAGGGCTTGGAGCTGGGCAGGGAAGCCTGGTGGACGCTGTGGACATGGAGGAGAGGAGCCAAGCAGACACCATTGTCCTAGGAGGGAAACAAGAAACAGGAAGGAGCACGTGTTTGTCCCAGCAGGACCAGCCACCAGGCTTAACCTCCCACTGCCTGAGGGAGGCAGGCAACCCCAGTTTTGGGGTTCCTGGGCCTCCAGTCCCGGACAGAGTGCAATGGCATCCAATATTCCCAGGCACCCTGTATAGGTTGAGCAGCAAACCATGGGTCACACAGTGCGGGGCCTGGGCTCTGGCCTTTGGCACAGATGGAGAGCTGGTCCAGTGAGGCATGGGGCAGGGCTGCTCCCCGGGCCTCCTAGAGATGAGTGGTGCCGCCCCCACAGGCATGGCAGGAACCTGAGCTTCCTGTCTGGAGGAGCTGGGTCCCCTCACCCTGAGTCAGCTTCTGCCTGACCTGGAATTCATTTTTCCAGATTGAGGCCTCCCTTCCTTCCCCAGGGCCTCTGGGAGACACTGGGGCAGGAGGCAGTGGAGGGAGGGAGAGGGAAAGTGAAAGACAGGAATGTGAACAAGGGTGAAAGAGGGCCTCCCAGGCTCTTCTGGGACCTCTTGCCGCCACCTGACAGGGGAAAAGGTGAGAAGCTGCTTCGGCACACTGAGTGGACAGGCTACCATGTTGTGTGAGGCCTCAGGAGTACCCGATCCAAAACTAAAGCCACTTATCATCACCACTACCAGGCCTGGCTGACAGTTTCTTTAGTTTCTGACTGATGCTCCCACTTACCTGGGCTGTGCCCACATGTGTGGCCCAAGGGCCAGGCTCAGCAGTGTAGGAGTGTCTCGCCCACCCGCTCCAGTGCACAGGGGTGGCTGTATCTCCCAGAGAACTGACTTGGTCAGGGACACTCACACATTTGCCTCAGAGAGGGTTGCACACAGCCAGCCACCTGAATTGCCCCAGGGTCCAAGGTGTAGGAGGAGGGGCTGTGGGAGCAGGGCAGGGATGGGGCTCCCAGATGCTAAGCTCAGCAACTGCTCCCAGAAGCCCTCAGACATCTCCTGGCCCTTGTGTGAAAAACTCATGCGCAACTGTTGGTCTTGCCGAGTCTAACGCTGTAGCTGTTTAATAGAGGAGACATCCAAAATCCCCAAGACCTGAATAATCTCCTGACTTGGGGCTCCCACCCTGCCATCCTGTGTTGCTCTGCTGAGTTTCCTCAACCCTGAAGTCTGAACAGGTTACTGCCTCACTCAAACACCCTGAATGGCTCCCCAGTGCCCCATAGTAAGAGTAAGGAGGCATTCTGTACGAGCCTCTGCACCAGGAGGGGCATAGAACCCTTTACCAACATCTCCTTTAGTCCTAGGGTAGTCCTGGCAGGGTATTAGCCCATTTTGTAGACAAAGAAACTGACAGCTCAGCACTGAAAAAAGAAAGCCTGTGAGATCACACGTTAGGGATGGGGGTGAGGGAGTGCATAACCCCGGAGCTGATGTCCTTTCTCTTGTTCCTAGACCTCTGCTTCCTGTGGGTGGAAAGACATGGGCAGAGGTGAACGCCCAGGAAGGAAGTGCTTTCCACTTGCTTGCAGTCTTCCGGCCACCAGGGGTCAGTATAGCAGCACACAGTAGGGACCACATCTGTGCAAGTGGCTGAGGCTGGGGACCATGGGGGCAAACACTACATGCTCTGGGTGTGGTAGCAACATCTGGTGTGCTGTCTGCCCCCCGCCCCCTGTCTCTGCACCATTTAAGAGCTTTCAGGGCTGTGATTTCCCTATCACAGGCACCATGTCAGACGGGCTCTGTGTGTGTGTGTGTGTGTGTGTGTGTGTGTGTGACGAGCCCAGGCAAACTGGGGCTTAGCTCCCTTAAAGATAACAACGTGCAGAAGTTGAGTTGCTTAAACCCTTTCTGCTGTTGGACTTACGTTCTTCCTTTTTTTTTCCTTCAACTTCTTCCAAGAACTGAGTGCAGCTCCTGGTCCTGGAATGCAGACAGGAGGAGGGCTGGGCCAGGCTCACTGAAACCCTCTGCACCCCATTTGTGCTCTGCGTACCAGCATTTGGTCAACCCTCACAGGCATGCTGCACAGGTTCTAGAGCGTCCTCAGGCAAAGAAGAGAGGTGGGGCACAGAGAGGAAGACCCAGCCAGGGGCCAAGTCCAGGCCTTTGCCCACCACCATGTCAGCCCCTCAGATTCAACTCTGAGCCCCAGAGAGAGGAGCTGACAGACTCAGGCTTGGTGGTGATGCCTCCCAAATCTTACAGGACTGGGCTCCTTCCTGACCCCTCGGCCATGCAGCTGGCCACAGAGTGAGGAGCCTAGCTTTGGGGGCAAGGTGAGGTAGCGAGTCCAAACTGGTGGACTTCCTTCTTCAAGCTTTCCTGCTGAAGGGGACAGCAGGTATGTGCCAGATCCCTGGTTGCTCTGGGCCTGCATGACCTCTGGTTGGGTCTCTCCTGGGTATCCAGATGGACCGACCACATCCATTCGCTCTACGGAGCCTGACCAGGCTGCCACCTGTCCCTGTTCTGGCTATGCATTGGCTCATTTTCTTGACCTTGGTCAGATTTTTCTTTTTGGTAGTACTGAGATTTGAAGTGGGGTCTTGTGCTTGCTAGGCAGGCGCTCTACCAGTTGAGCCACATCACCAGCCCTTTTTCGCTTTATTTTTCCAGTAGGGCCTCACATTTTTGGCTAGGGAAGGTTTTGAACTGTGATCCTCCTACCTATGGCCTTCTGTGATTATAAACACGCACACCCAGAATATTTGGTGAGGGCTGGAGGAGTGGTCCAAGAGGTCGAGTGCCTGCCTAGCAAGCGTGAAGTCCCACTTCAAATCTTAGTACCATCAAAAAAGACAAGAAAAACAGATTTGTTGAGATGAGATTGGGGTCTTGCTAACTTTTTTCCCCAGGCTGCCTTTGTACCACAATCCTGATCTGTGCCTCCCAAGTACCTGGGAGTACAGGCTTGAGCCACCTCTCCTGGTCCCGACCTCTATCACTTTGAGTGTGTTCTGTGTGCCTCATGCCAGAGAGGTAACAGCAAACAGCAGGACTAGAGGGCAGGAGGCAAATTCCAAGGCATGATGACCCAGGGGAGGGCTCCCTGCACGTGGCTGTCAGCAGCAGCTCCTATAGCCTCTTGGGGGAGTAGTTGAGGCCTCCTCATCCTCTCCCAGCTCTGCCCAGAGTGCTCTGTAGATCTCAGAAGACACAGCAGACCCCAGTGTAGCCCCAGAACTCTGACCCCAGGCAGAAAGTTCAGGCCATACTGAGGACCCCTCTGGGGGTGGGGGGTGGCAACAGAAGCGGGACCTGTGGGTCTGGGTTGAAAAGGAACACTGGCCTTTCTCCTGACCTTTCAGAAAGCAAATCTCCTGGGACCCTGAGTGGGCAGGCAGGGCCCTGGGAAAGGCGTGGCCCAGTCACTGGGGCATCCTGATCTGTTGTTCAAGGCCCATTCAGGTGCCCAGAGCTGCCAATCCTGTTGGCAGAACCCCTCCTTCCAGGATCCACCCTGCTCTGCCATGCCAGCTATCTGCATGTCTGCTGCCATGACTCTTTCGGCAAGTGTCTGTGCCCCAGGCTGGGCAGCCTCTAGGTGGTAGCAGGTGTGACACATCCCCTCACCAGCCCTGCCCTTAACGACCTCCATCTTGGGCCCATGACAGTGGGCCTTGCTTTCATTCAGGATGGAACTTCTGCCATGTACTAGGCCTAACCCAGTGGGGGACACACCCAGGCCTAACCTCAGAGCGTGGGCCTCTAGTTGTCTGAGGTCAGTGACTGTGGCTGAGGTGACACCCACAGCGCCCCTGCTGGTGCCACACACCTGGAACTTCTTCTTATTTCTGCCAACCTGGGGACTCTGCCCTCAGCATGGTCTGTCTATGCCTCCCCCCAACCTGGGGTGCCTCATTGTTCCCTGGAGGGCTCCACTCCCTGTTGTTGGCTCTACCCCCAAGGGCTTCTGACTCTGGTCTAGGTGGGCTGAAAATGCTCATTCCTCACTACTTCTCAGGGAGTACTGACACTGCTGATTCAAAGGCCACCGAGTCAGAGTAGCAGTGCCCCCCATTGAAATCCCCACTCCTTAGGATCAGCCCTGACCCTCATCTTAGGCCTGCTCATGCTGCCTCTGCTTCAAGTCAGACCTGCTCTGGGGATGCCCACTCCCCAGCAGGTGGGTAATTCTCTCTGATCCAGGAAGCTATCGCTCCTTATGGCTCCACTGGGTGCCTGGCCCACGCTTTTCACACCCCATATCCCTGCCTGAGTTGCTTTTTGGCCAGGCTTCCCCAGTGCCTGTGAGCTCCCTGAGGCCTCACTGTGATGCATAGGCCCTGGCAAATGGCAGGCACTTTATGAATGCCTGAGGGTTGGCTTGCTTGGGGCTGGGCTCCAGGGATTTTCCAGAAATGCCACTGCCCCTCATCTCCTGGGACTCCATTGTACTTTTCCAGACAAGCACCCAGTCAGCCATCATGGGGACTCACGGCACCCTGCAAGGTGCTGGGTCCTGCTCTGGGAGCCGTGATGGTGCTGGAAGGTCGGGTGGGAACAGAGATACACAAGGGAACTGCTGAGGCTGTCAGAGCAGAGGGTCAGCAAGTCAGAGGGGTGGGATCTGGGGAGGAGGCCAGCTTAAGCCAGGTTCAGTCACACTGGGCAAGCGGAGGCCCAGCCCTGCTGGAGAGCACACATCTCCCTGCAACCGTGCACAGAGCCACACCTGAGCCCAGAGACCACTCCTGCATCATCTGCTTGCTAGAATGCAGTCTCCTCACCTGGTGGTGACTGGGGTAAGGCCCAGCAAGCCCTCAGGGGCTTCAGTCCATGCCCTTTGCCACTGCCTGGTCCAAGCTACCATCCTCACACACTCCCTAATTGAGTCCTCAAAACAGTTCAGGACCCATTCTCACCACCAGAGGGCCTGGCTCCACGTCTCCTGGGGTCAGGCCTCTGCTCAGGCCTGTGGGTTCCATCTCTCCCCGAAGCCCTGGACACACTGATGCTCGTCCATCTAGGAATCCCAACTCTCATCCTTAAGATGAGGGACCGTGG